ATTTTGGCATGGACCATGAAATTAATGTACCACCGATGTAATGCACTGCAATTTAAAGAAAGGCAGTAGTAAGTTAACAACAAATCTCCATTCAACTTCAGGAATATCAGTCTGTCCAGTTAGGAAGCATGCTGTTCAAGTGAAAGTATCAACAGGTGCACTGGAGAGGCAACAAATCCCCCAAAAAATAGATTTCCAGCTGGTGGCCTCTTTCCTTGTCACTTCTGCTAGTATGAAATGGCACCTGCAGCCTATTTAGGCTACACAGGGAGTCCAGCTACTTAAGGAAGTGACAGTCACAAATACTACCACCCCCAGAAGGTATGGTGTGTCTCAAGACAGTGGAGGAGACAAGATGGTACAACAAGAGATCTAGACAGGGCTGTAGAAGGTCATCAACTCTGCAGCAGGATCTGCTCCTTTATGGAACGAAAAAACAGATGGAGCGAGCCCTTAACATGACGTCTGGAGGATTACTCGTGTACATGTTTCTAACCAAACTGTCAGAAACAGACTCTATGAGGGTGGCATGAGGGTCCAGTGTCCTTTAGTGGGACCAGTGCACCATGCCGCCCGACAGGCTTTTGCCAGAGAACATGAGAACTGGAAGCTCCACCATTGTCACTCCGTTCTCTTTACAGATGATATTGCAGGCATGTGCCTAACAACTATTATTACGCCACGTGGTATGGTGCCATGACATTGGTTATCGTCTCACACAGTTTTGGGGGAGGGAGCTGTGAACGTGTTTACATAAAAGAGACAGTGTTTTCTCCAGATGACCAATGAGGAATAAGGTTAGAAAGAAATGTATCGAATTTAAAATGTATAACCTGCTGTTACTCTTAAACTTTACTTGAAGTAAGTAAAGGACAAGTATAAAAAAAAACACTAACTTAAATGACTTACTTGAAAAAAATCTTTTAAGGTCAACAAGTGCTTTAATCAGCCGAGACACTGAGTGAGACACACAATCAAATGAATACCTCCGGTAACTTTGTAACTTTTGCCCCAAAACTCAGAGTTAAACCTTAAGTTCCCTGACTAACCCCACAATCCGCTTCCAAGTAGAGGCCTTGGGGCAACTGTGTATCAACAGTCTGAAATCATGTGATCCGAAGTTACACACAGTCTCAGCCTCATAAATTGAAGGTCCAAAATACCAACACACACATGCACACATGCACGCACACACACACACACACCTAAATACAACCTTTCAGACACTACCTGAACCATATCCAATTTGTTTTACAAACTTTATGCTCAGAGGTGATATACCATTAACCAGATGTCCTTGCAGAGAAAACAGCTGCCTACTATGTAACAACATCCCCACATCAACCCCTCACTCTTTAGATTCCTCACATTCCCAGGGTAAAGAGCTCTCAGTATGTGTGTATGGGTCTGATTCTTGCCCTGCCACACCCTGTTCACTAAGAAAGGAAACAGATAAAACTCTGTTGTTCAAAAAAAGGGAAAAAAGAAAGAAACAAGCCTTGAACCCAAATTCAACTCCAATGCTGAAAAAACAACAACAACAACAACCCAACAACACGGACAGCAAAACTATTTTTAAGTGATTACATCAACAAAAAAAGGAAAAAACGCTAACACAATACTGCTTAAGAAACACTTTTCTGATTCTCAACAAGTTTCTGCTGTCTCTGATGACAGCAGGAACTGAAATCATGCTACCTAAAATTAATCTGTCAAGGTAATGCAGCTCGCATGCAAAAATAATATAATCCCAAGAAAGTCTGTATGACAGGCAAACAATGATCTCGAAAGAAGCTAAGGAGAAAGTTTATTTTAAAATATCCAGAAGAAAGAGAAAAATCACCAAACTGCTCACCTTATGTAGTTCTATCGACTCAATCCACTGGAGTCTGTGCTCGGGATCTTCGGCTCTGAGGTACCAAACGCTGTCGTTCACGCTGACATCAAAACGACACTCGTCAAACTCATGAGGCTGTGCAGAGAGAAGGCAGAGCGCATGGGTAGTTATTCGAGTGCATGAGTCAGAAAATAAAATAACCAGAAATTTGAATTTTAAAATACAAATTTCAATAACATTTTCCCTTAATGAATAACATTTCTAAGGAATGAGAGCAAATGAGAGCAAAATCCCGCTTTAGCACCTCTCTGTCTGTGGCAAAGGATTACTAACAATGACACATTCCGGACACATATGGACTTAATCAGCCTCAGAAATGCATATGCCATGGAATAAAGACGGATTTTAATTAGAAGATGATGTCTTCTTGAGCCTGCTGTCGTAGCCCTTAACAACCGTAGTGGAGCAGCGCTACATAAAACAGAGATTATTCCAGCACACTGTTGCCTGACCCAAGGTCATCATAAGATTTCCGTCTATTTCTGAGCCAAATCTTTCAACTATTGCACTTCCACATTCTACAACACACCCCACCCAGCTCCAGCCACTAACCGCCTCAGGCACCAAAACATGTGCAACAAAGAATTCCCTCCTTTCCTCTGAAACTGGAATTTGCTTACAGCTGAGAAGAGATCTGCAACGAGTAAGACACAGTGGGGTTCAATCTCTGTCCATCCCCACCCCCATTTTTCCTATTCAGCAGTGTTCTGAATACAGCTGCTCTGTCAGCTGACAAAAATCGTATGCTGCCAAAGTTTAATTAGATTTGCTGAATGTTGCTCATGTGCTGGCTTATTTGCAGCCACTGACAACAGCAACACACAACTCTGGACATCTAGTGTCAGCCTGCAAAACTTTATGTAACATTGTAGTAATGCTTTAACGCTGGTATTGCATTTCACAGCTTGTATATTTAGAATGGGCACAAGCATGGGGTGGATTTTTATGACCCTTAAATGCTTTTTACTGAAGTTCCTAACAAAATCAGCGCTACCGTATTCCCTTACCAGAAACAGTCGGATATGAAAAAAGTGCTCTGGTTTTAAATTTTCACTATAAAGGTGTGTGCAACTTTGTGCCCATCCAGCCATGATTATAGCTTTGACAAATCCAGTTTATCTTGCACTGCTGCATCAGGCACAGACCATAAACCTTCCCTTTACAATGAAGTTTATAACACTTTCCCTATGACTGGAACGTTCTCTTCCCCTTTGCGTAAGCACAGCTGTATCTACACAGCATTAGCTTTTTTTTTGGTTTTTCAAACGTGTACATTTCTTCACTAAAAGTCTTATCAGCCCACTGATAAATCTTAGTCATTGTCAGATCCTAACTTTTCCTTCTTGTGACATTTTACAACGCATCTGTGTGCATCAGATTAATTTAATAAGATTTAATACAAGATATACAAATATTAAGTATTACTTATACTAGATTAACTCTTAAAACTGATAAATGGTGGGAAAATGCAATGGCATGTACAATCAATGGGAGCTTCTGGTGTCGGTCTTTACTTACAAGTTGTGTATCAGTGTGTGGCTGTTACAGGGGAGCTAAGAAGCAAAGATTTGTTTGTGCATTCCTGAGTCCTTAGACCCCGCTTTAGGGGAGAAAAAAAAAATAGAGGCAGGGAAAAGTTTGGGTCATGTTGCTCCAATTACTTGTGAGCATGTGTAATAAAACTGTGTACATTCTTGGTTTGGCTACTATAGTGCAATTACAAAACAATCGTGCTCCATTCAGGTCTGCACAAGCATAAGAACTGATATTATGTTCACACCAACAAGCAGCAGGACTTCACTGTGACCTTCTTAAGTTGTACTTTTAAAAATCGTCTAATCCTATTGAACACAGCTGCGCAAATTACAGTAAAACCAATTGTTTGGCTTCTGTACTTGGTATGATCAGAGAGAGAGAGAGAGCAGTGAATATTTAACCAGGGTGGTAGGTCTCAGTTTATCTGACTAACAGGAGGCTGGAATAGGAAGAATGTAGGTCCAACCTCTACAGTGTGTGGTCAAAGCTTACATCTGAAACCATGGGCAAACGCTAATTTATAGTAGATAACAAGGGCCACGAACAATTGATAGCGCTATGATCACTGAAGCAATGTTCCCTTGGTATGCTCAAATATCTATCTGTAATCTCAACACAGCCTCAATATAAGTTAATGTTCACCTTTCTATCTTAGAAGAAAATAGAGAGCGTGTGCTAAGAATAAGAAAAGATGGGATCAAAACAGGAAGACCTACTAGAGAAACAACTATCCTCTTATGAGCCCTCACTTACTGAAATGCTGAACAGGTGCTAAGCTCGCTGTGATGTTGGCCAGTTTAAATACTTACTGTGATGACTGCCTTGCTGAGGCACAAAGAGCCCCTGCAGCCGTACTCCCGTTCATCCTCCGACTTGTAGTAACTCAAAGTATTGTTTTTCAACACAACCCATCGGTCCTGCCACCCGTGTATGTAATTTGTCCACTGTAAACACACAAGACGTGAAGTACACAGTTACAAAGCTGCAACACGCGCTCAGCAGGTGATCTAGTGCAGCAACACTTGCACACCGATTGAATTAAAGTTACCTTGCTTAGGACGCCTCCAAGCTCCAGGGGCTGCCCGGATTCCGGGTCCACATCCTCATCCGAACTGGACGATGAACTCTTCTCGGACATTTAACTCCAAGTTTACAAGAAAAGTTGAATCTGATCGTATCAGTGCAACCACGTAGCTCGACGCTAGTTGCTGGATTCGTTTAGTTAAAATACGGTTGCAGAAACGTTCTTCAACTTAAGGTCTGCAAAATAACGTTAATTGGCCATTAATGGAGAGTACAAAACAGCGTCTAGGTGGCGTAATATACCTTAGGTCACTGACAGACTTCAACCGAGTTAGCTTGTCTGGCCACCACCTACTCTGGAGGTGACAGCTGGATCTGATTTTCTCCGTTTTGCGTGCTTTGTTTTGAAACTGACGTCGTATACCACTGAGACTAGCTAACTAAGTTAGCGGTGGCTATCAAATGACGCAACTAGCTAGTATTACATTAACTAACAACTTGTGTTTGCGCTCGTTAGCTATCTTAGCTGCAGTCCATAAGCTCCTGCTCGACATGGAGGCCTTCGGGGAAACCACTACACATCAACTTCCATCTGAAAATCGACGAGCAGCGGACTGAGTCTCTGCTGTGGTTCCGCAGTTCAGTTAGCAGCAGCGGAGGACTTTCGGGTCGAGGGGGAGGAGCCGCAGCCACGCTTTACTGTGTACGACCGCCGGTCACCCCAGACCGGAAGTTATACGTGTTTGAATAAAATTAAAAGCTGGATATTTTTTTAAAATCAAAAGTTTCAAAGATTGTATCACAAATCAATAGGTATTATAAGTATTTCAAACGGGTTTATAAGATTTACTGTTAACGTGTGTGCTTACTTCAAGTTATCTCACTAGAACTTGTTAGTGATATAATTAGTATATAATCTAAGATAAGAAGAAATAATAAATAAGAAAAACTATTAATAAAGTTGCCAAAATGGGAAATGACATTTCTCTAGTTAAAAATAGTTACGTGTTAAGCATTTTTAACACCAAATCAATCAGCTGATCCAGGCTTTGATCATCCTATTGGGATGATCCAGGCTCTGCCCAATAGGATGATCTGTAGTGGTACGATAGATCAGATCAAAAATATGAAAAATAGAAATAACAAAAAATAGAACAGTAGATATTGTCCACTGGTGGGTGTATAGAACAAAAATCTGTAATAATGGATAAATGTCTGGTTAACTCTAAAAAATAGATTTCATTACTCTTTACTTGTATTATATATATATATATATATATATATATATATAATTGCTGCATAGACTCCAATGATTACAACTGTATGTATGAAACAATGTTGTATATAGCCTAACTTTTTGTGTAGACAAACATGATTATTCTACCTCACATACAAGCCACAGGAGGAGATTTTTTGTTACCCACAGCAAGAATCAATCCAATCAAAAAAAGCGGTTTACATTTAACACAAGAAACCAGTAAAACTGGAATAAAAAAATCAATTTGGCATGCCTCCTGATCACAGGTAGGAATAGTTAACACGAATATGTTTTGTGTGTGTGCTATAGCACTCATGTTTATGTAAATGTGACGCCACATAAATATTTACCCTGATATTTGTGTTGTGAGGATCTGTTTCGTTGTTTGCAACGAAACTACATTTCATCAATTAATGTCTTAATTTACTTGACCAGCAGATTCATTTTTAATTCCTCGTGTGAAATATGCCAAAGGGTTTCATAACATATTTGTTGGCACTCAGGAGTATCCAGTGTACTTTAAACGGACCGATAACAATGTAAGGTTAACTCATATCAGCAGAAACACTGCACAATCCCAAGTAATAAACTGTAAAAGCAAACTTTGAAGGGAAGGTACAATCCTGAAATGACGCTCTTTGTCTTTTAGTCCCGCCTATTTGGCTGATGACGTATGGACGCGGAAGTGCCGCCAAAAAAACCGCCGCCGTAGCTGTTTTCAACACATGTAGAGACATGTATGTCAGAAAGCTCAGTGACTTAATTTACAGTCACCGTGGCTCTTATTTGTCATTGAGAAACTCGGATCTGATCCAGCCCGGAAAGCCGCACATATGTGGGGATGTACAGCTTTGAGTTCTTCAGAAAACAGCCCAGTTCGTTATAACCTGAAGTGTACCTGCACTAAGTAAGTCATTAGGATGGAGAATGGGGTGGCATCCATCAAAGAAGAGGGCTTCCTCTCCAGAATGGCTCTCAATGACAACAAAGCTGGTATGGAAGGTCTTGACAGAGACAAGATCAATAAGATCATCATGGAAACCTCCAAGGTAAGTGCTCACAAATCAAAGACACGCGCATGACACACCTGAGGTCACAAACCCGATAGTCATCTACACAAACTGTCTCCGAGAGGATGCAAATACCCGAATGATTAGTTTTTAGAACATAAGCATGGATAATTTGTTGACGTGCCGTTCTGTATGTCTTTATGTTTTGCTAGGATGGATGGAAAATAAGGGCAGCAATATATTGAAACACGCACAAAAAATACATGGAAGTACTACATATAAGGCAAAGACAGAGGATGTACAATTCTAACAAGCATGAAATGTTTGACACCTTTATTCTTCAACAAAGCCTGAACTCTCTTAGCTAAGCTTCCTTGTCATTTCTTTAAGTAGCCTTCAGGAATAGTTCTCCAGGCTTCCTGGAAGACATTTAAAGCTCTTCTATGGATGTTGGCTGCTTTTAGATGATGCCACACGGTTCCATGCTCTCCATGACCGATAGTGTTGCATTGTGTGCTTTTTGTACCCAAGTTTTTACTGCACCAGCAGTGTGTTTGGACACAAGCCTTAATTCAGATGGTGTGAAAAATGAAGTTGTTGCTAATCACACGCTTTCCAGATGTTATTGTATGGTGGATTCAAATCCGATGATACTTTTCTGTGTTCATAATTTAATCAGTTTTAACAAGAAACCACGACAAAGCCTCCACCGTGCTCCACAGATGGCTGCACACATCCACTATTTAACCTTTCTCTTGACCACCTGCATACATACTGATGACAATTTGAACAAAAAAATTAAAATGTGGATTCAGCACTCCACAAGACCTGTTGCTGCTGATTTTCAGTCCACTTCTTGTGTAATTTGACACACATGAGCCTTTTCATCTAGTTTGCCTTCCTTAAGAATGGCTTCTCGACAGGCACCCTTCAACTGACATTATTTCTGATTATGCATTTTTTTGTAGATTTCTTATATCACTATATAAGTGTCATAATTCATTCCTTACAGTAAAATGAATAGCTTTTGTATAATGGTTTTCTAAAATGTTATTTTGAAATATGTAGATGAGGCATTACATTGTTAAGTATGTTTCAGTTTGCAGTATTATAAAAGCTTACACGTGTATGTGGACAGTTTCTCGCTGCTATAGTCTAAAAGAGGACATTGTGGGAGCAAAATCTAAAAATTGACTCCTTTTTTTTTCCGGTTTACTTGGATGTATCTAGCTTTAACCAATAAAAGGCACAAATGACACTGTGGACAATATGAACCTCCGTCCACTTTTGTAGATTGTATCCTGTTCCCCTTTGCGTCCACTTGCGTCCTCTGTGTAATGACATCCAGTCCTAAAAATAAATGAGCTACAGTAGCTTTTTATTAAAGCTGTAAAACAGAGCTGTTATAACTCCCCATTGTCCTTGTCCTTCCTGGGCAGGGATCTAAGTTTTACGAGAATGAGCTGAAGAGAGATCAGCAGGTGAACCAGCGCATTACGAAAATGATGCTACAGAAGGCACGGATCACAGAGCAGCAGTTAAAAAAAGCACAAGCTCAGGTAAGATGTAAGGGATTCACATGGCCAAAGCTCTCTTCTTTTTCCAGAGGTGACCTGAAAATCACACAGACACAACTCAGGTGAGCTTCAAGCAACTGGCTTCTTTTCATTTTATTCTCTCTGTGTAGGTGGAAAAGGTTTCCACAGCGGTGGAGAAGAGTCGTGATCTAAGCCGTGTGATTGTACATGTGGACATGGATGCTTTCTACGCTGCTGTTGAAATGAGAGACTGTCCTGAACTGAAGGACAAGCCCATGGCCGTAGGATCCACGAGCATGCTGGTGGGTTAAAAACATTGCTATTGTGGCTAATGGACACGCTCAGGGTGTAGGCGCCACAGATACTGACTATGAATTATGTCTGAACTCTGAAACCAGATATTAAAGGTTTATTTCAAATATAAACCACACTGCACTGAAATATTGTATACACATGCTCTCACTTCTTTACAAACTACACGGAGATTAAGTATTGAAATCGTGGCCATTTAAGATCCAGAACAGCCACTCTCTCTGTTTCATTCATGTCGCCTCTTTTCCTTTCACAGTCGACCTCTAACTATCACGCCAGGAAATATGGGGTTCGAGCTGCCATGCCTGGCTTCATTGCAAAGAAACTCTGCCCCAGTTTAGTCATTGTTCCACTTAACTTTGATAAGTACAGAGCTGTGAGCAATGAGGTAAGCGCAATACCTAAAAACACACATGCAAACAAATTCTTTCAGTGGCTTGTTGCTCAACAGGTGCCTGTCTGTCTGTGCTTCTGTTAGATCCGGGAGATCTTTGCAGACTATGACCCGAACTTTCAGCCAATGAGCCTGGATGAAGCTTATCTAGATTTCACAGACCACCTGGAGCAGAGGCAGCACTGGCCAGAGTCCGCACGCACACATCATTTCCGTGTCAGAGACATGATCACAGGTAGGGATTTGTTTTTCTTTAATATATACACACAAACACATTTATATTAAGTTTTATATATCAGGAATCCATTTAATTGTTGTGTGATTTTTTTTATTTTTTATTTTTCTTGTAAAGATGAGAAAAAAGCGGAGCCTTCCCAGGAAGCTGTGACAGAGGTGAGAGAGCTCTCCCCAGTACTGTTTGAGGACAGCCCAGGCTCCTCTCCCAGCCCAGTGGGCCCTGAAGGTGTGCATGCTCCTGCAGGTGATTTTGAGGTGTTTGGGACATCTGTTGAAGAGGCTGTGCGAGAGATGCGCTTCCGCATTGAGCAGAAGACGATGCTGACTGCCAGTGCAGGTGAGCGAGAAACCAGTCTGCTTTTAATTTAAAACACTCTCATTTTAACTGCATAACAGGGATATACAGTAATAAATCTCACATCCTGAGCTCTAAGCAGTCACTGAACATCGCTGATCCCTGTGCCATTGTTAAAGCTGCTGTCATTACGAATACCTATTTATTTATTGCTCTATTTATGATCGTTTACAACATATTTTGATACTACATTTTTATTACTTTTGTTTGACTGTACACCAAGTTCATCAGTTCATTCTAATCTAATGCAACCCTGACAAGTCTAGTATGCATATTTTGGGAATTATTATGCATGCTTTACCAGCTGTTCGTGGAAAATAAATAGCCAATGATATTTTCCAAACTTCCAGGAATTGCACCAAACATGATGCTGGCTAAGGTGTGCAGTGACAAAAACAAACCCAATGGACAATACAGACTCCCATCCACCAGAGAGGCAGTGATGGACTTCATCCAGAACCTTCCAGTTCGCAAAGTACAGTACCCATTGCTCAAATTAAAGCATTAGCAGAGCTGTGTGCTTGTAGTATATTGCTTGACAATGTGAGTAAGATTTTTAGTATTTTTTTTTTTCTTTTGCTGCAACAGTGCAAATAACGTTTGAGTTTGGACTCGCTTGTTTGCAAACCTCACTCCTCTGGGTTAGAGCTGAGGCAACCCACTGCAATATGGTTCATAATAGTCACAGTCTGTGGCTCAACTTGATAACAGAACAAAGTTAAAACTGCAGTTGTAACATATTTGTGTCTGTGAGCAGACATGATGGAGTCCATTTGGTAAAAGATACATCAGCTGGATGTTTTTCAAGGGTTTAATAGTAAACAGAAGATGGTTTTTAGAAGTAGAAAAACAAACATAGAAGTTTGTTTTTGGGCTCTTACATGTGTAACCCTGCTCTGTGAAAAAGCATTGGATGTGTTAAATAACCATCTGAAATAAGGTTTGTTAGCTTGATGCTAGAAGAGTGGCTTTTTAAAAAAAACAAAATTGATTTGTGATCTCAAAAAAGAAACACAATTGCTACAATTTTTTCCTTTTTATCTTGTGTTTGGACTTTCTCTGGTGATTTAGTTATTGCTTTCTCCAGTTTATTTGTAGCATGTTTAAAGCTACTTTCAGTTGTTCCCTTATTCACAACGGGTCTCCGCAGTGGGTATCTCTGAATATTCGGTTTTTACTCCAGAAATCCACGTGTCTCACGTTCAAAGGATCTGTGTCTCCTCCCAGAATCGAACCAGGGATCTTTTGCTTGTTAGCTGAATGTGTTTGTTTTTTTCCTCCTAATTGTCTTCATTGATTTCTTTAAATAAATGTTAATTGTGAAGTTCTGAGTAGAATGCAGTATAAAGGTTTACAGACATGTTGTGGAGTCACTGTGAAACATGGCTGAAAGGCTAAAAACATGTTTATGTGCTTTTCTAGGTTTGTGGCATAGGAAAGGTGAGTGAGAAGATGCTGAACGCTTTGGGTATAAGTACCTGCTCCCATCTTGGCCAGCAGATGGCGTTGCTGTCATTGCTGTTCTCGGAGACAGCCTGGCATCATTTCCTGGAGGTTTCTCTGGGTCTGGGCTCCACATACATACCCAGGTACTGTCTGTTTGCTTCATAACATTCAAGTACAACTGATCTCCAGAAGAAGGAGATAAAGCTGACTGTCTCTACTGTCACACAGGCACGAAGAAAGAAAAAGCATGAGCACAGAGAGGTTTTTTAACAATTTTAATTCATATTTGATAGTTTAAAAAAAATGGTTTCCTTCTTTCAGCTCTCTTCTAATTTCTCTGTCATACTCTCAATATTTACAGGACCTTTAAAGAACTGAGTAAAGTTGAGGAGCAGTTGTCTTTGTGCAGGGAGCTCTGTGAAGATCTAGCAGAAGACATGAAGAAAGAAGGTCTGAAGGTATTGATCAGTGTTATTGTAACCTTTAAACCCATATCTGTGCATATCCGCTGTATAAGAAGATTTTCTTTAACATCTTTTCGGCTACCTTTCTTTCATACATCAACTTTTTTTCAGACAAGAGGCAAGTTAAAGGAAAAGCTAAACCCCTGACCCCTTCATTACAGCTGTGTCATCCCCTTGTCAACTTCTTTCTAGATCGCAGTGCCTCCTTCCATAGGGCACGAGCGATCACTGAATGATTTGATGGCATAAAAGTTGTGTAAAGTTGAACACCTACACATTGTGGACCGACATGTTAGACGCCGCTCTCTATCACCATCATCGAAATAGCAAAAGAGGGAAAGAAAAAACAATTTCTTTTGAAAGAATGATGCTCTGTCGCTCCAATACATTTCCAGAAACAGGAAGAAGCTATTTTGGCAGCACATGGAGGCTCGACACCTTCCTAACACACAATTCT